TATGTGGGTGGTTCAAGTCAAACCGGGACTTTTATTCTCATGAACATAAGAATAAAAAAGTCCCGGTTTGACTTGAACCACCCACGTAGTAATTATTCGAAAGTAGAGATTTCAAGCTTTGAAATCCTTGTTTTAAATTTAAATTTTGATCACTTTTATGAAGATATTGATGGGAAAAGATGTTTTTACTAAATTGTGAAGTGACTTTTTCTCTAACCCAATATTTACGATATATTCCGATTATATATTCAATATTGGATAAGATATTAGCGAGTAGGTGATGAAAGAATTAAGAAATAAGAGCAGATGTTCTTTAATTAGAAAAATAATTTAATATTACTTGTATATAATCTATAATATGAAAGAGCACTCATATATTCAACATTGAAAAACATTATCAATAGTAATTAATGTCAATAAAAATATCATTTTGCTATAATTATTAATATCTATTTATTTACAAATATACAAAATATCTCTGTTGTTGACAAGGCCGTTTAACTGTAGCTTACGGCTCGTTGGGAATATTTTAATCCCAATACTTGATCTTGCCGTCCCAGCCAGCGGTAGCAAGTCTAGAAGGCTCATGTGGATGCCACAATACATCAATGCACACTCCATCGTGCGCTTTCCACTTTTTGTACAACTTTGTCGTTTTCCAGTCCCATATGTAGCATTTACCATCTGCATCGCCCGACACCAAATAACTGAAATAAGAGAATACGTATGATACTACTGAAATTCAATTTTTTTTTAATAAAAATAATCAAGTTTTAATAATATTATTCTATATATATTTCACTTAAAAAACGCACTTTTTTGATATAAATAAATTACCTCATATCTGGTGAGAAGTCTAAACCGCAAGCATATCCCGCAACCATGTGCCCTGTGAACGTCTTCTTTCGATTCATTTTAAATCTATTTAACGCAGAGAATATAACGATCTTATTATCCATGCTTTGACAAGCGAGCCATTTTTGATTTCGTGACGGTGTTACCGCTGGCATAGAATGCATGGATGGATCAGCTATGTATTTCATATCCACAGGAATATCCCTATAAAAGAGAATTTGTTAATAATAAATCAATCCATTTTTCGGAAATAATTTTTTACGCATATTAATGGATTCATACCATTCCCAAACTCGGAGACTTTTATCATCACTGGTTGTAACGAATCGTCTATTTTCGTCAACAAATGTGATGGTGTTCACAGCACCCAAGTGTCTATCATATTCTTGTGTTATTTCGCCAGATCGTATATCCCACTATAACAGATATATTAAATTATTAATATTTAAATAAAGATATGTTACTAAATAATATCTTGTTTTTACGCTGGTGTGTTGCACTTTTATTACCAAGAATAAATAAGATCATTTTTGTGCATTCGTATCATTGAAATCTTAAATTTTATTAATACATTGTTTTCGATAAATTAATTTTTTTACTTACACAAATAATTTTTTTATCGCTGGTACCAGCTACAAAGAGATGTTGTTTATCTGGATCAGGATTAAACTTAGCACAATATGGAATTTTTCTACTCGTAAAACGACTAATACAAGCTCCCGTTTCTGTGTCCCAAAGTTTCACATAGCGATCGTAAGCCGCTGATAAAAATCGCTTGCCGTCGTTGTCAAAACTTATGTCCCGTACAGCTTGTCGATGTCCATAGTATGTACGAACGCATCTTCTGTCTTTATATACTTCCCACAACTATGCAATAAGACATATTAATGATATTTTTTGACATGAATAATATGTTAACATAGATCAAATTAAAATAATCGTCACATCGAATACCTTCACTCGACAATCCATACTGCAAGACAATAATAAATGCGCTGTACGTGGGAACCATCGAATTTGCGAGATGCCTTTTGTGTGGCCTTCCCATGTGTGAATTTGCGCCTTTGGTAAGAAGCAACGATCGGGTGGTGATTCCGATCTAAGATTCACGCCAACATCCTGAGGCGCATGTAAGAATGAGCGTCCCTGATAATCCACACTGTCTTTGACTGTAATGTAAAATTATTAAATATTATATGTATACATTTTAAAATAATATTCATATTTATATTATTTATTTATTGTTTAATATTCTTATTAATTAAATGTTATCTTAATAAAACTAGATAATTAAATTCTAAAAACTATTTTATATAAGAAACAACTTTGTTACTAATATATATATATATATATACACTAATATATGTATATACATATATACATACTAATATATTTGTAATATATATGAAGTACATATAAAAAAAAGACATTACTATGTAATACTGTCTTCTCCTCAAGTGGTTTCTCCTCCGTCTGTTTTCCTCGTTTATTTCGTTTGGCTAAGATTTCTTCTAATTCAGCAGCTTCCTCATCGCTTGGCTTAACTACTCGTTTCTCATCAATATAACCACCCCAAGGACCCAAAAAACCTTCTATATCCGCTGGATCGTTGTTTCTATGCCTCTTTCGTTTGTCCGAAGGTCTCAGGGTGGTATTTTCGAAAACAGTCTTACCGCCTGATTCTTCTGCAGCTTCTGTTGCACCAATCATAATTCTACCTTCGTCTGCACTACCATCTACAGTTGGATCAAGTGCATATCCTAATAACAAAAATTTAGACATATTAATTAAAACTACAATATTAAATTTATTTGATTTAAGCTCAAATATCTCAGATATTCAGATATAAATAAACATATTTTGTTTAATTATAGGAGATATAAAGTAAAAATAATTTCGAGAATCCAGATTTCAATGAGATAGAAAAATATTAATTGTCAACTATGTATTATATTATATGTACCGTAACTGGCAAATGTTCTCCTTTGATTTTCAAACTGAAATTCACTTATATGCGCGCGTTCTACATATCCAGATAGTATATTTTTCACTGCACGTTGCTGCTGCGTCTTAAATGGATTTTCTGGTCCTATCTCAGGTCCAAAAAGTTCCTCATACTTCGGATTATGTGTAACCTCTGTTGCAGTTGGATCTATGTGTTTTACACACAATTCTGTTCCCTAAATATATAATATTGATATAGGTGACTGTTTATCTCTTCTTTATCAAAAAGAAATAAGAATACTTATACAGTGTCGATAATAATAGTGAATGCTTTCTATTTAGTGACATAAGTTGACACAAACATCATTCTATCTTTCTTGATATTCAGCGAGTAACGAAGATAAAACGATACTTTTGTCGACTGTGTCACCAAATGAAAAGCACTCACTATCAGTATTCATAACCTTAAAAACGACAATTAAAAACGGAGTGAACGCACGTAAATACTTACAGTAGGTATGACTTCCGGGGCCGAACAAATTTGGAGATTAGTCGAAGTTGTGAATTTGTCACTGGGAAACGTGGATGCAGAATCGACGTTTTCATTCTCACTACCTTCATCGCTGCTACCATAATCTTTTAGCGCAAGCATAGTTCCATATATCAAGATTTATTTCATATAAATGTTGTATTACCTATTTTATTAAACCAATTGTCTACAGCTTCTTTTTCGTATTTTCTATTATAAAATCACGTCCTCTCATTAAATTCTTTCACAAAAGATACAAATATCGGCGAACAGAAGGAAGAATATGCTTTAAATGGAATCCGTTTATTAGTGCCTCCAGCCTCTGTGTGAACATAGAACTATGTAGCCACAGATATTTCCAGCGGGTAACACGGTCTTCGACCATCGGTAAAAACGAGCTCTGATGATATTCTCCTCCCCTGCTAATTTCTCTCAACTGTCTTTAATCTTTTCTTCACAATTTTATAAAATGAAGTAACTTTGAATTAAAAACGAATTATTGTTCAGTGGTTTTAATGCTCAAATAAATAATTTGCAGTATCAAATTAGGTGATATTAAATTGATTTTTATATAAAGAATGGGAGGCTACTTTTATACCAAATCGCATCTAAATATTCGTCATTCATGACTAATGATTTAAAAAGAAATCCTCAACGGTTTGAATATTAATAATTTTTTAATATTAATCTTAAATTATTACAAATAAATTAAATTTAAGCGCACCAAGAGCTCGTATGGTATAAAAATTAACGCATCGCGCCATTCGTCACATTTTCATTGCAAATTAATTGTTGGATCAAGATATTTTTATTAATATTAATATATTCTACCAACAATTTTGACAACATTTTTCGCGAAAAACGCGTATTCCACTAATGCAAAATATTCTCGTTGTATGTACATACATTGCCTAATAAGAGTTTTTTAAATTCATATGTTGATATATGTATGAGAAGAGTCTTTTGCCACTATATATCGACTACATATATCGACTACATCGGTTCATTGAGTTCATTCCTCCGTATGACACGCTAACCGCATTCGCTGCAATTCGAGTGCTACGCTACAAACTGCTACGAACAGAAACAGTGCGAAACGAACGCGCGTCATTTACGCGCAAACGCGCGAGTCCATATGATTGATATGACACGTTTTCTCGCTCGCGGCGGAGCAGCCGCGAGCTGTTCTGGGATTTAAATGCGTGTCAGTAGTAATAATCGCGTGAAACGTAACGCGCGAGTGGGCGTGAAGTGACCGATTAGATCCGCTGTCACGTATGAGGCCCCGCAAACGACGAAAGTCGCACAGCAATGTGAGTACGGAAATGCGTAACGGATGTCGATGTGAACTGATGTGAACTCCGGCTCGGGAAAGAATATCCCATGGCTTCCACCGTGGCTTCGGGATTATTGGGACATCACTTTCTACGCTCTTTCCGTCGCGATCCGGATCTCGGGGTCGTTCCTCTCTAAGAAAATGAGGGGACAAGACACGTTTGGCCGGTGGGCGGATTGAATCGCTTTATCCGGGAACGTCGTTCCGTAGCGAATAATGACTCACTGTACAGCGACTTGCAAAATCCCATGTGTTAATTTTAGACGCAGATTTTATTCTAGTAAATCGCGGAAAATTTGAAAATTATATTTTCTTTAGTTTAACGCTTCATCTTCCTTCACAGATGCTGCTATGTTGAAGAGGACCACGAAGTTAATAAATTTCGCCACAGATAATGTGATTTTATAATAATATTTTTATCTTTTTAATATATTCTTGTACTGTCAAGATGCACTTTTCCATACCAGATACTCAGGAATTTATAGATAGGGCTGAGAACGCGTATATCGTAAGTGATACAATTGTTTGTTATTTATTGTATTATATAGTGCGTTTAATTATTTATATAATAAAAATTTATTATATAAATAATTAATTTATAGATTTATAATATCTCATGAAATTATAGGGATATAATATTCATATCAATGGATTATTTCATTGTACAGCAAGATACAAACAACTATATAATCTGCATGTACAATTGTCAAAAGACCTGGACATGTTGTTACCTATATTTCCTCCAAAGAAGTTCTTTCCTTTAACTACTACACAGCAAGAGGAACGGCGGCTGGCTTTGGAGAAATATATTCAGTCTATTGGTCAAAATATAGCCATAAATAACTCGGAAATATTAAATGGATTTTTACTGAGTGCTCAACTAGAAAGTGTAAATGGCCTGTCCGAGCAAGAAACTTTAGATATATTTCTTATGAGTGGATCTAAAATTTCATTAAATATTTCTCCAGAAGAGCATTCTGGTAAAGTTTTAGAGGTATACTGTTTGCAATATAATTAATATACATAAAAAAAGGTAACTTTACATAAACATGACAATTGTTAAAATACTACCTTTCTACAGAGGATATACAAACATATAAAGTTAGTAGAAAAATACCATTTTCATTTTGCGTTATTTATTATTACACAAGATGAGTTATCCGGTAGTATCAAAAGTAAGTATATATATTTTTATAGTTTATCATAATATATCTACATATTTTGTTTTCTCTTTTAATATATGTATTTTATTTTTTTTATCAGTACTGCGGAAACTACAAAATTTTGAATCACCATTTATAACGTACAAATATATGAGTTCTACGAATACGCGAATTGTTCTCAGAAAAAATTACTGGGATACAGCATATGATGTTGAGTTATTGAACGATCCGGTAACGTTAAATTTACTGTACGTTCAAGCGGCTGCAGAAATTCGCAGCGGTTGGATTCCAGCGGTTACCAAGGAGGTGCAACATCAATTGGAAAATCTGCAAAAATCTGAGAGTAGAAAAGAGGTACGTTCATTTTGAAAGGCAAATAATATCCTCAAGTAATTTATGATGTTATCTTTATTATTTCAGTACCTGAATGTAGTTCGTCTCTTGAAGTACTATGGCTACATACAATTTGCACCATGTTACTGTGATTATCCCGAAAGTAGCTCGAAAGTATTGCTTGCTATAGGTAAAAATGAATTGAATTTACGTGTATTATCGTCCAAAGAGCACGAAATTGCGTTTAAAGTATCACGAATGCGATGCTGGCGTATAACTACTATACAAAATGTAAGTGTTATGAATGTTTTAGTGAAAAGTTTATTTAGATTGTTAATAAGAATTATTAATGGATATATCCAGGGAACGGATCATCATAAGGATAATAACGAGTGCAGTTTGGAATTATCCTTCGAATATCTGATTGCTAGGAACGAATTACAATGGATTACAATTGTGTCCGAGCAAGCGATTTTAATGTCTGTTTGTCTGCAAGCTATGATTGATGAATTGTTGCAGAAATGTGTAGTTGGGAGTAAAACTCAGGTTGTTATATAAACTGTCTTGGATTACGTAAATGTTGTCAAGTTTCTTCATCCATAAATGTATGATATTTATAGACAGAGTCTGGGAAATCGTGGACGTATATTATGAGGGACGGTCAAAGTCGTACCATCACAGGATCACCGCTGCAAGAATGTGTAAATAATAATCATTCTAAATCAGGACCAATTATAAAAAAACTTGCTAACAAATGGTCGACTGTGACGTCAAAAAAATCAGATGATTCACGAGGTGTTATCGACAAAACTCAAACAACGGATCTTGATGTCATGGAAAATAATGTTTTTCGTATGATAGGAGATGACGATTTATGAACCAAATAAATTTTGAAGATTGACATAAAAGCATAATGATAAAAAAAATAACAGGATATGCCTTATTAAAATAAAAAAAAATATATATTTTAAGATATATATATATATTTTACAAATTTTTTTTGTTGAAATACTCTTTCCAATTCAAAAATTAACGGTACGGGTAGTTTCAAGATTTTGTTGAATGATGCGTGCTTAGTGTGTTTTGTATGTGATTAAAATGCATTTATATTTATTGATAACTTTTTATAAAAAATTCTTTATACATTTTTATATACCGTCCTATTTCAATGACAACTGATCTGATATAAACTGGAAATGAACTTGCATCAAAACTTTATTATATATACAAAAAATACTTGTGCACGAAGTACTTAATAATAGGATTAGTATTAATATGTTTGTATCATTAATAAAAAAATCAAACTAAAGAGATCAAACGCGCATAGTTTGTATAATGTTTTATTATAATTAAACAAACCGATTGAAAAGGCAGCATGTTAATATTTGCTTTAGTCATTATTTAAACAAAACTATTAATAATTCTCGCTTCGATATTAAATAGTAATCGTTCTATATGTTGTTAAGTTCTATTATCAGACTATAGTTTTCACTAAATCATTCACTCGGAAAACATACTTCTGTCTTCAGTCTCTATATTTCAGCCAAACACTGTAATAGATTATACAATACACAATACGAATGTAAAATCATGGAGTTATTATAAAATTGTCATGATTAGATATGAATACAAAGCCATATTTTCAAGTGGAAAAATAAAGACGGATTATTATGGATTATTGCCTTATAAAATATGTAACTATAAATCCGTATTAAAAAGTGATTGCTAGCTAAGACTAAATGACTGACAATCGTGTAGAAAATGCATTAGTGTACTTTGTGACATTTTTCTATAAATTTTTATCTGTTTTACTGTTTTACTCTTAGAACAGATAGCGCAGAACATTATAGACATACGTCGTAAGATCAAGGAAGATTTTATAACAGCATAAAATGTAGAAATATATAAAGTTTGTAAAGCTATAATTTTATGTAAGAATGTAAAGAATGCAATTTACAAACATCTTCATGTTCATGTCATATATGAATTATAAAATGAAAGAGTATAATAAAACCACAATTTTAACAAATATACAAATAATGGAACGAATACGAGCATTCAAATTATTTAAAAGGATTTCTAAAAAAAAAGTATGTACAGTTTACATATTTGCATTTCGTATACAATATTGAAGCATAATTTTATATGTGAAACAATTTTATTCTTTTTCTTTGAAAATCTTATTAATATTATACTTCTGTTTGCGAGTATCAAGATTATGGATAATATATGCTTCAAATTCGGACCTTATTTCATTGACAATGTGCAACCTTCTATATCAAAAATATGTTATTCTGTATTATTTTCTAAAAGAAGAAAATTGAAGATCAGTTCTGGCTATAGCGCATTTAAGTATAGCTCTATTTCCACTACTTGTAAAATAGCCCAGATGTCAGCAAGGAATTATTCTTCCACTATGATTATTCGCCATATGTATTAATGGCACATACAAATATATTTATTTTGTAACTATCACAAAAAAATATGCGGTCAAAAATTTTTAGTGCTTTATACATAAAATAATTATTGTTAAGGCATTATCCCATACGAACTTTTTATATTATTCTAAAAATATCATTATCGTTAGTGAAATCTGATAAATTTCAGTTTCAACAATTTTCATATCATGACAAAGTAAATTAGAGCATACTGGAGAATACTTTCTAATATACGGCGCGCGGAAGACTCTAATACTAGTAAGTTCGTTTATGAAATATCTTATAGAATGCGGCATCATTTTTTCGTCATGATGCTGCATACTGAAGAACACTATTCATTACTTTAGAATTGCGATCATATTGGTGTTGGACATATTTGCAATTTGAAAAGTAAATATAATCATTTAGTAAATTGATATAAACTAAAGTTAGTGATTAGTATTAGTAAACGAATGAGAGTAGAGAGTCTATCTATGGCAGTAGAATAAAAAGTAAATTAATTAAATCTTACAGCCTTGTTCGCTTATTTCAAACTGTCATGATTAAATAGAGCATTCACACTCAAGAAACTGCTTAGCCGTTTAAGTGCATTTTACATGAATTAATGATTTTTTATATTCTGGATAAAATGGCATTATAAATGACTAGCGTAGCACGATACGAAATACCGATTTCTTTTCAAGTAAATATAAAATTTCTTTCTCGATAAAAACTGTAATTATGATGCATTTGTCTCTGCATTCCTATTGCATTTCTTTTTATTTTCTAATGACCCTAGAGGAGTCTCTCAGAATATCCTTACAAGAATAGGATATATTTATCAGTAAATATAGGTAAACATAATACAAAAATTAAGTATTGTGATTGTTTCTTCACCTAAATCACATAAAATTTACATTGATGACGTGAGGCTATTAGCTATTACTCTAATATCCCAGAATTCATAAAGAAAAGCAACATTGTGATTTGCGAGTAAACAGGAAACCACAATCGCTACACGTTTATCCATTTATGAGGTAAAATATTCACGGTGTGGAAACAATGTTCTTCTCTTTGATGAAGCCAGGGATGACGCGAATAAAATCTATTCATTTATACACAACTGTACACCCTTTATCTATTCGTCATCACTTATTCGCGTAAAGGAGGACTGTTAGAAGTTCTGTTGACGTTTCCGCTTAGTGTCAATGGCATCCAGAATAGGCTGTCTTTTCGTCTGATATCTTTTTCTCAGCTCATCAATCTCCCGCTCCATTTCCGCATCCAGATTAGCCATTCGTTGCTGTAGTTCCTCGTAGGAGAGGAACTTCAACTGCAGGATACGGCTTCTCTATATATTCAAGTTATCGTTTTTTATAATGCCTGAAGCGGCATTATTCCAAATAATTTGATACAGAAAATGTGAATTGTACATTATAAAATAAAAAGTGATAAATCATTTTTTCCTGTTACGTTAATAAATAGAAACATATCACGCGAATCAATTATATAAATTCTTAAAATAAAAATGTTGGAAAAAATTTTACTCACAAAGTCGAAATCACGTTCTGTGAAAACATTTTGAAACTTTGATATATTGTTATATGGCTGTTCTGGTACGGGATGAGAGATCTGATTCTGCAGCTGTAGTTGCAAATGACTCTGAAACCTATGAGATTCGATTGGACTTTGTTGCTCCAATTGGTTCGCATTTTCCATATTGTGTGCTCCCAACATTTGTCCATTACCCTAAACACACAATATTATTCAATATATTATTAATATTTTATACATAGATCACGTCTATGTAACTTAAATTAATATGAGAAAGAAAGATTACCTTTCCGATTTCAGGTGCTTCTTTCTTATCAAAGTGATCTAAGAATAATGGTCGATATTTTTTGCTGGATTCTACAGAACCAGTATTATGTCCTGAAAAGGATGTCAATTAGTTGTGAATCATTTTTCTGTTGGGATTTGAAGAGATTAATTAAGATCTACTAACTCTTCATAGTAGCTTCGGTATCGGTATCACTATTAATAACCATTGTACCCAAGTCCAACATCGCCGAAACTAAAGTACCCGTGTCTGGAAGATCATGACTCGGTACTAAAGTCCTGCTATCTTCCGGTAATGGTTTCATAGTTCCACTACAATCGTCCTCATCCTTACACAGAGACACAATATTATATATATATAAAACACATGATCTGCTAGCAGCTATAATTTTTCCAATAAGGAATGGGACCGATTTATTTGAAGAAAGATTGGAATTAATAAGGAAAGGAGATGAGGTAAGAGCATTAGCTAGGTTGAGGTGTAAAAATATGGAGGAGGCAAACAAATATTGGTTAGCAGGAGACGAGGATAAATCGAGATGTGTATTCTGTGGAAAAGATAGGGATAATATAGTACACTATATAAGGAAATGCAAAGAAGTGAGTGAGAGGTTTAAGGAATTAGGGGAAGAGAAAGAAAAAGTTATAGATAGATTATGGGAGGATGAATTAGACGATTACAAGGGCTCTGGCACACAAAAAACTTAAGGTAAGTTACAGTACGACGTAAGACGTACAGTAGACAGACAGTACAGTAAGACGTAAGCAGTAAGGAAATCAACATGTTGAATTCGCTACTGCTTATGTTACGGCCTTATGGACTCTACTGTGATTGGTCAATTCGCTTACTGCTTACATTTTACTGCTTAAGTTTTTTTGTGTGCCATGGTCCTATTAAATTATGGAAAGATAAAGAGAAAATACTGAGAAAGAAAAAGAAAGAGAGAAATAGGAAGTAGGGTGAGGATAAATCCTGGATAGGGATAGGATAAGAAAGACTGTGAAATAGGCTATAGAAAATAGAATAAGTAGTGCAAGAAAATAAGACTGACTTAGATAGGTGTAATGTGATGTAAATGTGTCATAACCGGAAAGCGGCAATGATAAAGATAAAGATAAAGGTAGAAAGTAAAAAGTAAATAGTTAAATAATAATATAGTTAAATAAGAGCTCGTATGAAGTATGAAAGAATGAAGGTAAGAATTTATTGTAAGAAAATATTGAACCAAATCCCCTTAGCTATGTAATGCTGAAGTGTAATAAATTCTATTCTATTCTATAATTTTTCCTATATTGCATAGTTATACGAATTTAAATCACTTTTAGTCAAATAATGAATGCATATTTTTGATGTTTTAGGTACTTTTAAATATTTTTTTATGTATACTATTGATTTACATCTAGATAATTTGTGTTTTCCAGTGAAAACAGTCAGACACAGTGTAACACAGCGAATCATTACATCCTTGTTGTTTGCTACCGTTAAACAAGAATGGACCGACTCACTATGTTACACAGTTTGATTGTGTCCTTGCTGGAAAGCACCCAATAACAGTGTAACATATCAGATATGAAACTAGCAGTCTATGTGTATCTAATCAAAAGTATATACCGAATCCTCTGCCTGGTTTTGACTTTTAATCGCCACATTGTTTATAATGTGAGCTCTATGCGCATTCTGCTTTTCTCGTATTTCATGAGCCTCGGCTATCATTTGACTCAAGATACTTGGCTGTTTGGCATTGCCTGCATCATATAACATAAACTTGTTAATTGATAAAGTACCATAATATAAATTTTCTTTTACTCACCTATGAATTCGTGCTGTAAAAGCTCAGTTGCAGTAGCTCTTTCTTCAGGATTTTTTACAAGGCACCCACTGACAAAATCGATGAATTCTGGACTCCACTGATCAGGTTCTCTAAAACTAGGTGGTGGTTTAGTCGGAATCATAAATATTGCTCTCATCGGGTGTATGTCGCCGTACGGCGGCTTGCCCTCGGCCATTTCTAAGGCCGTTATTCCCAGAGACCATATATCAGCTACACAATCATAACCGATCTCTTGTATTACTTCTGGTGCCATCCAGAATGGTGTACCGATGACTGTATTACGTTTAGCCATGGTATCCTATTCCAGAGAATGCAATTTAGATTTAGTAAATTTCAGCCTAAAAGTATCTTCTCATAACTCACCGTTAATTGACCCGCCACACCGAAATCAGCCAACTTTGCATGGCCTTCATTATTAAGAAGAATATTCCCAGCCTTAATGTCTCTATGAATTTTTCTTCTCAAGTGAAGGTATTCCAATCCTTTTAGAGTATCACTCAGGATTGTCGCGATTTCATCCTCTTGGAGAGTCTTCTTTCTTAACCTCATGATATCACTAACAGAACCAGCTCCACAGTACTCCATCACAATCTACAAGTAATATTGGTATCGACAGATAGTCCAATTTGTTTGGAACGATAAAACAGAGCATATATCAACTTACCCATAAATCTGTATTCTTAAAGTAACTTCCATAATATTTAACAACATATGGAGAGTCGCATTGTTGCATGATGGAAATTTCCTTAATAATCTCCTGTAGGTCAGTATCCACTGGTACTTGTTTAATAGCAAGTACTTGTCCACTTTCTTTATGCAATGCTTTGTAAACTGATCCATAGGACCTGTACAGAAGTACATATTTAGAAACAGTGAAAAAAGAAGCTGCCATTATTAAAGTAAATATCAGGTTTACCCTTCTCCTAGTTTACATATAACATCAAATACTTCTTCTGGCTGTCTCGTCAGACTTTCTTCCGATAATTTTTTTAATTCACTAAAAATATAATAAAAATGTACATATTTCTGCAACAACTGTTTAAGTTCATGCTGCTAGAATTTGCGAAAGAATTTCTTATATATTTTGTACAAGGCTTATTCTCAGCTGAAATGTGTGTGTGATTCGAAGTCTCGGAGAATTAAATTTGTCTGTCAGATTGTCATTTTTATTTATCCGTTCAGAACTGAAAAATCTACGCATTTCAACAAGATTGCTTCATCATAGGAGAGATTCCAAAGAAGGGATTGCAATGTGGTAAACAATCGTTTGATTGCAGGTTAACAAAAGGACAAAGAGTCGGAGAGGTCAATCGTCAGGGAGCCGAAAGTCGTTCACCGGAGGATCCACATTCCATTTCGTCGCTATAAATAATATCTCAAAGACAATTCGGCGCAGTCAAACCAGTGCGTGTCGAAAAGTAAAAAAGGGGAGAGAGAGAGAGAGAAAGAAAAAAAAGATGCAAAAACAATCGGAATGTACCTCTTCGAAGACATCTTCGCGTCGATGTCAGACCCGGAGATCTCAAGTAAAGAGCACGCGTGCAGATATTTATAGAAACAAGAATAACATAAACACGGTTGAGAAGATGATTGTCATGCCGTGTGAGGCGGTAACATGGCCAATTAAAAATAGAGCGTTACATTTTTGTCAATAAATTAAGGTAACCACAAAACCGAGGTGTATCGGAGTCTTTACTCTTTGACTGTCGGCCATCGTAGTTGGTGCGATTGACGGAGCGTTCGCGAATTCACCGGGGACAGTCCTTAAGCTCGTATCAGACTTGGACGACTCGGTTTTATTTCAACCAATCACGATGCAGCAAGTTCAGTAATCTAATACGGGTGTTAGGCTCGGTTTCGTACAAGCGATTTTTGAAAATCCGCTAGATAAGAAAATTAAACACGAGGATGGAGAAACGAATACCACTCTGGATATTATGACATAAAATTTAAAAAACCCGGTTTTCTTTTTACAATACTTTACCAATGTTTATCACATTTTTATCAATAAAGATACATACGTTTGCTTGATAACGTGTTATGTTCCTTAACATCTGCATTCGATTAAAAAAAATTTTTTTACGATACGTTCATTTTTATGAAAGCAATCGAGTTAGTTGCTATACTCAAATATGTTGTTTCTATAAACATCAAAGGGTTCAAAATCATTTCAAGAGATGCTATGATTATTTTAAATTAACTATTTTCGCAGGTAATTAACACAATAATAAAGTCTAAAATTGGAACATAAAACGTCTTAATTCTCGCAAAATGTCTCGATTTTGGACTATTAATTATTTGACTTATTTGATTAAAATTATTTGATTAAAACCGCTATTTAAAATCACTTAAAATGATTTTAAATACAAAATTGAATAAATGGCACTCTTATATAATTTTTTAAGTGTATATTTACGTCGCCTTAATCAGCCTGCTGTAATACAAACGTATGTTTTAAATTTTACGCCAATTTACCAATAATTCTTGAAACAGCAAACAAAACTACTTTCAGGTTCCCGGCACTATGAAAAAGAATTTAATATAAGATCGAACTATAAATATCGAGATGTAATTTCGATAAACTCATCGTATACGTATAATAACAAAATTCTAATTCTCTCTTCATTTTATTTGTATAATCTCCGTATTTACTTTATTCCTTCGTAATAACTAAAATTGAAATTATGTAAACGATATCGCTGTATTAAATATCGCGGGAAAAAAAATGAGATAACGCGTGCGACTTGCATAACAAAACGCTTTATTAATCTTCAAACAAAAAGGACATCACAGTAGTGTAATCAACAAGATAATCTAATTAATAATGATCTCAACAGTCTGATCATATCTCCTACTTGTGCGAGTGAATTATAAATCATGCAATTGCATAATTCAACTCACGATTTCATACATTCGTTATTCGCAAAAATATTACGCGTAAATTCTCGCGATGTTTCTGCCGATTAATTTAACATAAATTTTACTAAATTTCTTGAATATTAACATTTTCTTTTATTAAACTGAATTTTTTAAACGCGAATGAAATTGGGATTCATTAGTAAAGTCGAATCGAAGCACGAACCTCTGACTTGGCTAATATAGTAGCGATAAAGGCAAACGGAAATCTCCCCAGATTGCTCTACAATTTAGATGATACTTATTTATTCGAGAAGTATATAATACATCGATCTTATCAGCACACATGAGAAAAGAAAACATACTTTCTCGATGAGTAATACTTGGCTTCCGTATGTCGGGCGCACGATGATTCTCTCTTTCATTATAATCTAAAAGCTACCACTTGTCTATGGAACGGACTGTGAAATTAACGCTCTTGTCGGAACGTGCTACAAGTTTGTCGCTAAACGGTTATCACTGCTCTGCTGCATCTACCAGGTAGATCATCCGTGATTCGGTTGTTATTGCGCGCGAAGACGCGTTATAAACAAACGCCATCCGAAGTGCCGGCAAGAATCGGCAATCGGATTCTTTTCTTTTTTTTCTTTTTCGAGAACGCAACAAACGGAAAACACAAGAGACGACGCGTATCATCTGAAAAAGAATTCGACTTACAAGTACGAAAATCGGCATGATCGCGAGGAACGAGGAATATTTTTCTTTTGTCATGTTCTTATATATATAATATATGTATATTTAATCTTCGCAATACTACGTGGTCTCTGTACCAAAAACAAAAAAGTAGGTGACGCTTATAAAACGTACTCACGTAATTATAAAAGTATCCGAATAACATCCGGTAAAATTCTCGGAAAAACCGCAATAAAAGCTGTTAGCCAAAACGACATTGAACTTCCTTTTTTCAATGTCCGTCAAAGTTCAAAAAAAAAGACAAACAAAAAAGAAAACTTCTGCGTGACTCTGCACGTTATGAACTTTGTAGGCGAATACTGCCTGAAAGAAAGGCACGGCTGCCTTGATTACAGCAAACGAAGCAGTTTCGTTGTATGCATGTCGGAAAATTATTACGTAATGGATTTCGAAGATCCTAATCTTAAATCCACCGCGGAAAATCGCTGCCTTAAATCGCAATGCAAAACGTGTGTCGGGGAAGATGAAATGTCCTCATAATTGAAAAAACCACGGGAACAATCGTACTAATCTAATTTATACAGTCGTAACATTAAAATACATCATGGAATTCATCCTTAAACATTTCACTAACTTACAACGTTTTATCGCGCGGCACGTTTTGCTTAAAACATAAACGCCACTCTTCTCGCTCTAAATCTCGGCTAGATGTATTGATTGGAAAAGAAAAAAAAAACTAAAGAGGCGTGGTGCCGGCGTTACACAACATGAAACGTATCTGCAAACGGACGAAGGGGAATGATCAACGAAGATCCGCAACGAATACACGTCGAGGAACGACTCCACTGTAGGCAAGAGAACAGAGACAGCGGCCGTACGATAATTCGCGATTCGAAACAACACTGTTACGCGGGAGAAGGAACACGTAAACAGTTAATAGCAGGCCGCGATTGTTCGCTCGAGTGTTACTTGATCGGCTTGCCCCAAGCAAACTGTATTCCCAACCGGGGGATATCGCTGCCGGTGGACGATTCGTCCTCGCTGCTGGACGCCGACGTTTCCTCGGAGATCATCGCTTCCCCGCCAGCTTCCTGTGGTCTCTGACCACCACCGACATTACAATCATCCACCGCCGCTGCTGCTGCCGCTGCAGCAGCCGCGACTGCGGCGGCCACTGCAGAATTCACGGCAGGTGTCGTAGACGACGTGGAAGACGATGAAGATGACGAGGAAGGCGACGATTGATCTTTCCTAGGACGTCGTCGCGAGACCGGCGTCGAGCTGAATGAAGGCGACCATGCGGCCGCTTCTTCTACTGCCGTGGTCCGTGCCGAATCACATGTAGTAGAGATACTTTTCGATCTCGCTCTGGTGTCTATGGCAGGTCTAGTGTTCGGTGTCAACCTGAGCGATCCTTGCCTGGACACTGTCGTTGCGCCCTCGGAGGACCTGGCAACTTTCGGCAATGTGCTGAGCGAGTCAGACGTCCCCCCCTTAGATAAATCGTCGATTTCCAGCGTCCAAGAAACGGAGGCGCCCTTCTCGACCATGAACTTCACCATCGATGACGAATGAGCGCCATTCTTTTCGAGCGAATAGCTGTGTTCCATTTGTTCCGCACCCGCGGATCGAGTTAACCGTGGGTTAAGCTGATTCGCAAGAACACTCACCCAGTCGTTCTTGTTTCGTAGCTTCCACTGTAGCTCCTCGTTCCGCTGGGACAGCCGCTTGTTGTGCTTCGAGACTTGATGAATCGATTCGTGAAGCATTTCGTTCTCGTGCGAGATTTGTCGTTCGAAAGATTCTTTCCGTTGAAGCTGAGCCTTCAAGTCCTCGCATCTGGCCTCCGCCATATCGAGCCGCATTTGCAAAGCGTCCTTCTCCTCGATATCCCGCCTATAACTGTCCAGCTCTGATCGAAGAGCAGCATTCTCTTGACTCTTCAGCTCGAGCACAGATCTCAGTGACTCGATCTCCGCCATCAGCGCGGCACCCTGATCGTGAACCACGGATCTTCTCATCTCTTCTTTGCGAGCCAGCTCATTGATTTGCTCGGCACGTAATTTCGCGATTGTCGCACGATGCTCCCTCGTGACTTCATCCAGCCTGATGTCGAATTTGTGCCTTTCCTCTTTTAAAGTTTCGACGAGCGTGGCAACCTGTTTCGTCCTAAGAGCCTCCACTGGAAAATCGAAATGTTAACTTGAATTTTTCATTTTCAGATGGCAAATTGTTATAATCTTTATCATTATACTTTATGTGGAAAATTTAAATATATAATTTGTTCTAGTATTCCTAGTCAACTTTTTATTTTTCGTTATTTAAATATCAATTAATATTAATGGGTATAATTATTGACATGTATTAATAACAAATTAATAACTTCCACCGGCAACTCCGATAATTACTGTTTAGAGACACTATTGATATTTTGATTGTGAATTTTGGATAAATTTAAATCTATAAAAAATAGGTACAATACAATTCGATTATAATGATAAAAATTCATTGCTAAAGCTTTGCCAAAGATCAGAATTTTTTTAGCTTTTTATATAATTCGGAGCAATAAAACATTTGCTCTATTTTTCGAAGACCTGCTGACGAAAGAGTCAAAATTCATGTTGCCGATAAAGTGTCAATGTTATTTTTATATATTCAATGCTATCTGTTGTGTGTATATATATATTGAAAAATAAAAGAGATGTAAGTTAAAAAGAAAGACAATTCGTCTACTAGTGTTTATTTATCACGTTAAATATGCATCAAAAAAGAATTTTTCTATTATTAAATAAATAATAAATAAATAATAAATAAAGATTCCATATTTCTTTCGATGTGATCTCAATTTTATAATTTAATTTAAATATATTTTATATTGATCCTGAGTTGAAAAGCAAAAGTATATACAAAGATAAACGAAGAGCACACATTGAATCTATAATTAG